TCCCATTCTGAAAGTGTGCAGCAGGGGCCCAGCTGTCTGGGGAGTCTTGTGGTGAGCTTGTGGCAGAGGGGGAGGGCTGTGCTGCTCCATGTGCTTATCAAACAGGCTGCTTCTCAGGGCTCTTCACTATCTGGATTACAGCAGTTCAAACAAATCACCCCTTAACTGAAGCACCCATGCTCATTTCCAGTGTAGGGCACAATGGTGCACTCTTCAGTCTGTGTATATCAAGTGCAGTGCACAGTGTGTGTCGGAAGAAATATTCTTTTAACATGAGAGGCACTGTAATTCCCGGATAGCTGATCTTCAAGGATTTTCTGTTTTTCATCTCATTTGTGCTATTAGATTATTGGCCTGATTAGAAACTTAGTCAACAAATTTCCATGTTTTTTCCCCTGTTTTTAGTAATCGAGAAGCAGAACATCTCTAGCAGTGGATCTCTAGGAGTGGATTTAGAGCAGATTCAAAATACAGAGCCTGTTCAAAAATGAACTTGGGTTTCTCAGTGTTTTACTTTCTAGTTAGGAATTTGTTCTTCTGTTTTAGTTAAAAAGTTATAAATCAGAAATCAGTCATGTGGAAACTTCCCAAATGTTTACCGTACAGAGTTCACAACCACCATCTTGGCTACAGTACTTCTCATAAAAGATTATAATTCATTATTTCTGTTTTGCAGGGGATTTGCTAGACTAGCAGACTAGTCAGTTGTAATTGATGCAAAACACCTATGTTTTTTTACAGAATACATGATGTTAATAACCCAAATAATATTGTAATTAATAATGTTGAGAATGGATTTTGAATAACATTGGGTTCATTTGGATTCTAGCTGTTGTGAGGCAGTTGAGATGAAAATTTTTAAAAAGATGGGCAGCATAGTGGTGCAGTGGTGAAGATCGCTGCCTTACAGCACTGGGGCCCTGGGTTCAATTCCAGGGGCGCCGTGTGTGTGGAGTTCATGTTCACTCCTAGTTTGTGTGGATTTCTTCAGGTGCTGAATGTTTCCTCCCATAGTCCAAAAACACACAGGTTGGGCAATTGGCTTCTGGGGAAATTGTCCCTGCTGGGAGTGTGGGCATGCTTGTATCTGCCCTGCAGTGGACAGGGGTCCTGTCCAGCTCACATTTGTTACTTACTGGGGCAGGCTTCTGCTCCCCCCTTCCCTCGTGACCCTGTTTTCGATAAAGAAAATGGAACCTCTATTTGAAAGCATTTATTATATTAATTTGGATGGGGCAATATCCAGCTAATGTGCCTCACTTACTGTGACATATTTTCAAGCAGCAGTAATGATTTTTGCACTTGCTTGCAACTGGTGTAGCCTCCTTGGATTGCAGTTGTGGAGGCATAAACCAAGCCTCAACTTTTTCTATGTTAAAAGCCTTTGTGGGAATGACAAACTCAGTTACCTCCTAAAGCTGACATTGACATTCGACAGCCTCTTGTATTTAGTGGGGTTTTTACACAGGGTGGGTCATGGCATTTTCGAGGTAACAGTAGGAACCTCCACATAAATTGTTCAGGAACAGACTTTCATCATAGAAAACTAGATTTCTGTCCTGGATTGTAAAGGAAACACTCCCACTTTTGATTAGTTGGAAATATTTGAACAGTTTAAAGGGTTTGGTAGGACTTGCATTTAGAATTGAATGCCTCTAAAAAATCACATGCTTTATTCTATTTTTTACCTTTTTATGCGGCTCGGCAGTTGTAGCGATGGTAGAGCAGTAAATTTGTCGGGCGCTCTGTCTCTGGGATTGGCACCACTTGTGTGGTGGAGACAGCCTGCTGCCGGTCTAGCCTTTCTTTAGCAGGTTTGCATAGCGAGGAGCAGTCGGCTTTCTGGACACTTGTCAAAGATCAGCAGCATTCCTGAGCCCAAGGATTTCTTGCTAATTAAAGCGTCTCTTTGCCAGCATCTTTAGCCAGTTGCTGTCTTAATGCCTGGAGCTTCTTGTTGTTAATTCCTACACATCAGGTCCTTATTTCGCCTAATTTTCCTTTTTACTCTGTCATTTTCGCCCTTTTTCGTTTTTAAAGCGCAATGCAGCTGTTCTGGACCTAGAACAGACTTTAGGACAAATAGGTGTATGAGACCAATGTCTTTACAAGGCTGACCCATTGTACTTGAAGCGCCTTTAGCATTTATTTCAACTGCATTAGCATCGGCATTTATTCATTTTTTACGACACCTTGCAAGTGTTCGAATGATGTGCGAATGTGAGACATTTTCGGTTTTAAGGGTTTACAAGAGCTGTGGCTCCAATTGTTGTACATTTAGTTAATTGTCCACAGTTTTATTTTCTTTTGGGCCCTTGGTAAAGGCTTATTGTTGTCCTCTTTCAGAAAGGAATCTGGGCTGCAGCTGGTCATGAAGGATCATGATAAAATGCTTATTGAAAACCTCTGGTGTCAATGTTATGAATCTGGTCCCCCTACATTCTTAATTACTGAAATGTGCATAATTAGGCATTTTTACCCTCCTGGTGAGGTCTATGATCAGCAGATGAGACTGCAGGAAAACTCCTGCAGGGTTGTGTCTGTGATGCCCCGGCTAGCTAACCTCTTTTAAGCTTAATACTCTTTAATTTCTTACAGACAGGCTTGCTTTGAAGGTAGCTGGGACTCTGGAGGTCGTCAGATTTTCAGTGTTATATTAGTTGTTAAATGTCTAATCGGTGCCATCAGAATGTGCTGCAGTGACATTTTAACTTTGCTGGTATTCTCCTAGTCTACCCCCGCTAGTGTTGCTTCATGAGAAAGACAAGTGTTTCACATGTCCTGACTTCCTGTACTGCGCTGGGTTAAGTCACAGTGGTGCTGAAATATCGGGCAGTGTATTTATTGCCTATGATTTCATCTGTCAAAATAAACCCTCATTAGCCACTAGCAGGGCTGGGAGAGCTCATCTCTCGGGCTGGCCGGATAGCTGGCTGTCAGGAAAGAGCCCATTAATTAGGCTCTGTTTGCTAAGCCACACTGCCAGTTCAGACGCTTGAGTGATGGATTCTGCTACAGTACTTATCTTAATATGCACAAATAAGATATCGCCGAAATCTATTTAACAAAATCCATGAGCATATGAAAAACACATGAGTTCTGATGTGTAAAATGTGTAGTGATGGGTGTCTCGGTTCTCCGAGGGCTTTGTGAATATAATATAGGGAATCTGTTTCTGTGCGTAGTTGGAAGGTTTGTGTTGTACAATTTATCCCCACTTCTGTCAGCCTGCACTTCCACTCTTTGTATTCCTGTCAAGAAAGCAAAGGGCTTCAAACAGTAAATGAACTCGTTACAATTTCTGTTAACACGCGTATCTAGAGGTCACTCTGTGTCAAGTTAATTACCATCCTTCTCAGATTTCTGTAACGATCGTGAATTTGAGCCTGCAATTTTGAATAGTTTTGTCAAATGACTGTTTAGACCCAGACCCTATTTACCCCCTTTTTAATTCAGGAAAACAGAAACAAAGCTTTCCATATAATCGCATATCTTGGGAACCGAAAAAAGATACCACAATTAAATTCTGTCCAAGGTTAGATCAGTGTTGTGACTGTTACGTGTGTCAATCTTAGCTTGATATGGTCCACGCCACTTTTTTCTGCTTTTTTCTGCTTATTTGACACGCATATACGGTAAATTTGTGATGACCCACGAAGCCGTTATAATAAATGTACAATGTTTTTTCCATTGGTGAAACTTTGTCTGGATCATACTTGCTTCAGACATTATCGCATTTTGAAACCTGCATGTTTCTTTTATGTGGAAATGAAGTGGCACTACCCTAGGTACTGTATAAATGGTCATCTATCATAAACTACCAGGGGTTCACTGCTCAAATTTCAGATTTGCTCAGATGACCATAAATGTCATGGAATGAAACTAGACTCAGTCTGGCAACATTTTGTGTGTTAATGAGAAGGCTTTTTTACAATCACTCATGCATTTTAATTTCGTATAATGCAAAGTTTTATGAATGTCAAGAACCGTGTTTCTGTAATGCCATCCGCACCTGGTCAGTCTCATTTTCTTGTTCTGGAGCAATAGAATGTGAATTTTCTTGAATAAGGTGTGCTCCAGCACTACATATCCTGTTAGTGATCTAAGTGTTGAAGTTACCATCTTAGATGGTTCCATTCATGCGCTTGGATAGCGGACGGTAATTTGCAGAAAGCCAATGAAATGTGCTACAGTTTGGTTGCTTTAGAAATGAATAGATACAAATGTTGCAAATCGTGTTTGTTACGATTTCTGTTGAATGAAGCAGTGTGAAAGAAGACACCTAGCCTTTAATATCATAAATCATTCTGAAGGCCTTTTCACATGTTTTTACAGTATCGCAGTAACTCCTCATTTAACACGCCCCTCGCCAGACTGGCAACAGCTGTAAAATGAGACCTAGCTGACGCAGGGCTGGGGCTGCAGTGTGTGTAAATTAAGTGTTTTCTCCCCTAGTGCCCCCCCCCCCCCCCCCCTATATTTTTCACCTCCAAATAAAAAGCTGACGTCTCCCTTTGGAAATAGAACCCATGTGTAATGTTTACCACGAAGGTACTGCTGGGCCCAGCCCGCCCCTAGACAGCTGATTGTAAAAGCTGACACTTAATCCAGCTACCGTGCAGGGGGATCATCAGCTCTGCTTCCATTCACATTAATAGCAAACAGACTCTTGGGTCCTCTTGGGGGGTTAGCCAGGGGCTGCTTAAATTTGACACTGTAATCCCCATAGGTGCATATTTCTAGACGCTCGGTGCATACCAGCGCTAGCAAGGTTCCTCCTCGGCCTGGCTTCTTTTGCTGTCAATAGCCGCTGATATGCAGTTACTCATGGATGGAACATGCTCCGGATTTATTCTTGGACCTGTCCTCCTATCATTCATCGCAGAAAGGTTGAAGGGTCAGTAAATAAGGAGGTGACCAGTCTGAGAGGCTGTCTGCACGCTGTTTACTGGGGTATTTTAAACCCGCGGGAGGACACGTATTTAATGACGGGGTTGACCATCCCGCCAGTTGGTGTCACAACAAGACAAGGGAGCGCTGAGCAGGGCGCTCCTCGAGTGGCGGGCGTGGGCGAGTGAGCGCTGCTGCTTGCAGGGAAGGGACAGCCTGGGGGCAGACTGCCCCAGCACAGAGGAGGAGCCGCTGTACCCTCGCCTGGGCTGGCCCAGGGCCGGCCTCCCTCTCCGGCTCGCGGGGCACCGGCACTAGCTCGCGGAGCGCGGTGGAGATATGAAGTCCCGGGAAGACGCGCTGAGCCGGGGAGCACGGGGAGACGCCTCCACTTGCTGTTTCGCGAGCCGAGCGGGCCTGGAAGCTCGCGGAGCTGGGAGGGGGTTCTGAGCAGACTGCAGGAGCTGCTGCTTTTGCTGTTCAGTGCGCTGGCTGGCTGGGCGCCTGCTGTGCAGAACCCAGGAAAGTTTAGAAGCATAGTCGCCTCTGCTAGGAACCGTTTCACCCAGCAAGATGAGTCGATGGCTTGCCTGCACCTCTGCGTACCTTGTGGGTATTTTGGTGTTCATTTGATGGCTTAACAGGGTTTTGTTTTCTGTAGTGAGGAATCTACTGTACTGGTGTAGAAAAACTGTCAGTTTCGTTTTCTGTTCCTTTACAAATGAGATACTGGAAGTGGGATGGTTTTACTGCATGGTGCTTGTTTGTTTTTGTAGAAACTATGAAACTAAAAATCGAAAAAAGACTGTTGTTCCACAAAAGGCACTGCGGTTACTTTTGAGAAATCTGATGGGCTTGGAAGATAACTTGTGCTCACTTGTGAAATCGGATTGTTTACATGTTCTGCATATTTTTAGCTTGCGGTCTAAAGCACCCTGGCCGGGGTTTTCTGGGGTGAATATAGGTACCGTGCCTCTGTAGTCTTGATGCAGGTGTGCTTGCGAGGAAAAGATAAGCAGTGTTTGGGGGATTTCAGATTATCCGGCTAGATAGTTCACTGTGTACTTTAGTGGGAAAGTCAAAATAGTAGCTTTGCAAAACAGACTATTTATAACTTGAACGCTGTGGAGCTAGAGCCATGTTATAATTGAGTGGTTTTCGGACACTCCTCTTGGCAAAGTGAGAGACGGTTTTCACTGGCTGCTTAATTTCTGCTATAACTTTTTATAACAATTATAACAATTTCTCTGCAAATGGTTTGGCTCTACTGATCTCCTCTTTGAAAGGTCTTTTTGTTTTAAAAAATGCACAATGTGGATTAGTTCATAGTAACGTCATTTTTTAACATCACTTTTTTTCACCAAGTGCGGAATCCAGACGTTCTCTCTGCTTTCGGACGCATCAAGTTGGTTTTTGCACGAGCCTTCGCATGAGCTTGTGCCTTCCCGGCGCGGCGCGAGGGGGGGGGGTATTGTCGGGTGTGCCGAATGCGGGCTGTGAGGGGGCTCCTGGCTGTGCCTGTTGGCCTGACGGTGGCGCTCTCTCTGCAGAACACTGACTGGAACAAGTATGATGACCGGCTGATGAAGGCCGTGGAGCGGGGCGAAGCAGACAAGGTCTCGTCCGCGCTCGGCAAGAAGGGGATCGTTCCCACCAAGCTGGATGTGGAGGGCCGATCCGCGTGAGTACCCCAAACCCCTCCCCCCCCCCACAGGTCCGAGACCCTGAGACCACTCCCATTCTAGCACTGCAAAGCATTTAAAATGTCTGGAAGCGCTCCGGTTGAACTGGTTTTTAAGGACAAGAATGGAAAAATATGCTCCTTTTGGTTTCTGGACTTTCAGCAAGAAGTTAACATAAAATGATTTGTTTCATTTGTTGTTTTTTTTAAATGCAGCCCATTCTGTCTACTGTTCATTTCTTTGAGGAAGATGATGTTTTCTTCTTGAATGCCACCTTTAAGCTGGTTTTATTTGAAGGTCCAAGAAGCAGCTGTTGGAATGTGTATCAGCCTTCATTAAGTTATATTCTGAGTTTTCTTTGACACTGCAAAAAGTCTCAGCTTTCACAAAATGATATAAGTTATAATACCAAACTATCTCAGGGTCATACATGACCAGTGTCGCCTAAAGTATTTTTCTGGTTATGTAAGGCTGTAAAACTGGATGAATGCAATGTTGTTCAACGTAACAAAAATTAGAGTTTAAGCCAATTTTAATTCCAGAACAGATATTGTAGTGATTTTGTGCTTTATTTTATTGTTTAATCTTTAAGATGAGGATGGCTGATATTTTTCAAATGAACAGGACCTGGGCTATATTCAGACGTTTTCTCAGTAATGATATATTGAGATTGGTATTTTTGCAGATTTTGCTCTTTAATTTTAAAGTATTGCTTTTGTGTCCAGATTCTCATCTTATCTGATCGTGTTTTATGTAACCGATCTTTTTTTTATTTTTTTTATTTTAGAGAGCCGAGAATACCATTTTAAATACAGATAACATTATCCACCAATCCTTTTATAATTCAAATTTGCCCATGTACATCACACATGGAAAATTCAGTCCGTTCTTATCTGTTCCTTTAATATTTTACAATTAGTGACCAATCATTTTTATATTTTTTTGTCCGTATAATCTAAATAGCACACTAATCATAAGCTTCCAGTTAGCAGCCCTGTTTTGACTGTTGTTGCAGTGTCTTGGCTTTAATTATGTGAAGCAGGAGACCTCTTATTATGGCTTTGCAGCCCGGTGGGAAATGTTTCTGTGAGTTGGCGTCATGTCTCATCAGGAGTCATGTCTCATCATAAAGTGATGGAATTTCTCAGAGCTAAACGAAATGCATCTGTGACGTCAAATTGGACTCATTACAGTTCACAGAAATAGCTACAGTTCTGAAATAGGTAATGATGTGAAGTGAAAGTAAGGGAATTGCTCTGATGTTAGTAGATTTGTGGCTCTGTAGCTCATTACTTGTACAATAAATCTGACCACAGTCTTTCTACAAAGCCTTGCATCTCTGTGACCTTTGGACTGATCTGTTTTCTGTACTAAAAAAAAAACCCAACGATTTAGGTTTTAAAACATTTGTTTCATTGTATGGATTTCATTATAGTTTCGTGGTTCATAAGCTTGTATCCAGATTGGGTCCACTGGTCCCCAGTGGATTCGGACTCTGTGAGCGGTCAGTGGCCTGGACTCTGCTGTGGGAAAAGAGCAGCTCACTGCAGAACCAGGTGGAGGATCTGCCAGCTAGTAGTGCTGGATAAAGATACAACCATATCCACATTAAACTGATTCACAGAGTTTGCTCTCAACGTCTTGACAGATTAGGTAAAAGGCTGATGCAGTATTGTCAGTAATTACTAAAAGTGCAGCCTTTACAATGTGTAAGAGGCACAGTTGTAGTATGCTGCATAAAAAGGGGGCAATCAAGTTATTAAAAGGAAAACAAAAAGATATTTATAAACCTAAATGTGTTGTGTAGAATTTTTGGAGTAAACCAAAATTATGCAAAAGCCTTTTATGTAGAGCCAAGCACTTGATTGTTGAAGTAAACAATTGTGCTTCAGGTAAATCTTTGGATGGTTTGCCTTTAACTAGGCATCTTAATTGTGGTCCACATGCTGGTTTTCCATGAAGAATCGGACTTGAGCGGACGCTCGTCAATCCCCAGGATTGTGATGCCTGTTTGTGATAAGAAAAGCACTTTCATTTGCAGCAGCTGCACACACATCCCTCTGAATTAGTATCACCCGGAGCCCCCAGCAGCACTATAATTGACACATCCAGAGAACGCAGTGTAAAGCACTGCACCAGCTTGTAAAACGCCGTGTAGATGATTGTAGGAGGATTAAGACACTGGAACCAGTTCTGAGAAGACCTTCGTGTGAACAAGCTAAAACTAATATCTTATTGGCCGTTATTCTGATTGCAAGCTGGTGGTCACTGCTTTCCTCTGCGAGACTGGCCTTATGATATAGTTTCACCCTGTTGCAGGAGTCGGGGTCTGTAAATGGTTGAGTGCGTCTTTTACATTTTGTTCCTGAAATGATTTGCAGCGGGTGGCACAGTGGTGAGCATTGCCGCTGTGCAGTGCTGGGGACCTGGGGTTCAAATCGGGAGCCGGGGTGCTGTCTGCGTGGAGCTTGTATGTTCTCCCCGTGTTCGCGTGGGTTTCCTCCAGTTTCCTCCCGCAGTCCAAAGACGTGCTGGCAGGTGAGCTCGGTGGAGGAAAAGTGGTCCCCGAGTGAGTGTGCGCATGTCCGTACTGGTGCCTGTGTGCCCTGTGTTGGAGTGGCCTCCTGCCCAAGACGTATCCTGTCTTGCTCTCGTTGCTTGTTGGGTTGGGTTCCGGCTCCCTGACCCTGAATTGGATGAAGCAGTGCGAGAATGGATGGAAGGACAGATGGAGGATTTTCAGTGTTTAAGTCGACATTGACACTTACTCCTCATCCGTATCTGTTTGTCTTGTGTTATTCCTCGACTTAAGACTGCCTCAAAGCACATGTCTTAGTCGCAGTTGTATAGATGCAGCTTTTTGGGGAAAAGTGAAGGAAGTAATGTAGGTTGGTAAAGTTTGTGTTTAATAAAAGAGATTGCAAGTTTAATGCCTTGCAGATGTGTCATTTCATTGAAAAGATGAGGAACAAGTTTTAAATTGCTCACCTGCTTTGGATAGATAAACCTGATAAAATAAGCTAATTAACAGCTAATGGCCAGTGTTCTAAAATATATACTGTAGCATGTGCTTTATCGATATAATTATCTAAAAGAGAGCATGCCTATAGCATAATTTGCACTAACATGGCAAAGATAAAAAAATAGTTGTTAAACTGCAGGAGAACTATACATTCTGAACTGTCTTTTCATTTCCAAGCATTGTACAGTATTACAGTAAAACATGTTCTGCAGACTTTTCCCCATACCTCTTATAGACATTGCATCATTGTTTTAAAATTAGTTTGATCCAAGTGCTTTTTACATTTCTCTGCATGTTCTATTAACATTCATACAGAATAAAAGTCTCATTCCATGTTGAGTACATGTTTCTTCTCCTCGAACAGCCCAGTTTGATGTCAGTCTTTACATGAAAATGCATTACATTATCTTTGTCATCTTGACAATACAGACTTTACAAGGTGTACCTTTTGAAAAGGCTGGTGGAATTTGTCTGTTTCATTATGTCCACCACACCTAGTTTCATTTAAACAATATCTTCTGTGCTTCTTACTCTTTATTTGGGTATTAGGAGTCAAATTGCATTATGTATGAAACATGAGCTACAGCCTTACAGTGTTAGAGCCAGTTCTGTAGTATAATAGGAAGCATTCTGCTGCGTTTCATGTTCAGCTCAATTCGCTTTTCAAGTTGAACTGTTTCGGAGGATTTTCAGCTAAATGTGGTTGAAAAGACAAAATCAGGTGGCAGAACATTCTTATATCAAGAAGACAAGGTGTAAGACATGGCATACCCTTCAAACTTGAATACCCTCTCAGATGAGTGGAAGAGCTTAACACATCTTAATCGAGTTATTGTCTTCCAACTCTCATGTCAGATCTTGATTTGAGTTGTTTTATAATTGGGTAGTAGAATTGTGAATAATGCATCAATAACTCAAACCAGGAGTAGGACCGGGGTGGTGAAGCAGTGTCTAACATTAGCATTAATGGATAGCTTACAAGACGAACCAATTTTAAGTTTAACCATTTTAAAAGTGATATTTTTAATGACACTGTGAGCTATCTTGGCTGTTCATTCTCCCCTGTAATCCAGAATTCATTTTTCTGTTTGTCAAATTTTACATATTCACACTTCCCTTTTTCAGCGCTAGGCCTGTATCTCCCATTCTTTTAAGTCTGCCACGCAGTCTGTGTGATGCAGCAGTTGGAGGTTATAAATAACCACCTGGTATACAGTTCAGGAAGTCCTGCAGCAGTTTTTAGAAATGGGGTATATGTTCAGACATCTTCAGTAAACTGATCTAGAAAAGCTTGTCATAAGGCAGGCCAGTCATTGTCTAGAGTGGTTTTTACCTTCCGTTATAAACCATATTCTCCCTTAAACCGCTTTTTATATTAGGAGCCAATAATGATGCATGAATGCATTCATCAGGTCTCTTCAAACAGTTGATTATACCCTGTCTTACTGCTTACAAAGCTGAATATTTTTAATAAGTTCTCAGTTTGCTTTTCAAGGACTGTATTCTTGAAGGGCACTCGGGCTCTGTGTGCCAAGAGAAGATGCCAAGCCTCAGGGCATTGTGGGTCCATCTCCTGTGTTGTATTGGCTTAATGGCAACGAGCACAGAATCAAGGATTCTGCTGGCTCATGTCAAATTAAATTGGAGGAATGTATTGAGATCACACAAAAAGCCACTGACCGTTCCACTCCTGTAATAAATACTTCTTCCCTTACTTCTACAATTTCCAATAACCCCGCTTCTGTGGTGAAATTTTTTTTTCCACATCTACATCACTTCTCTTTAACAAGAACCTATATCGCAGTTATTGGCTATTGTACTGAAGTCTTCTTGTCACCTCTGTTATTTAATTATATCTTACATTTTCATCATGGTGTTATAATGTATATTATTCATTTCCTAAAGTGTAATGAGACTCAATAGGAAAATTCTATATATAAAAAGTACAGTGAAGAGAAAATCTATTTTATCAAAAGCATAGAAATGTGAAATTGAAAGAAACAGGTTAAGAATTGAAGCCTATCGAATAAAGTTTGTAGTAAGATTTATTTTTTTTCTTAAGTCAATTGCAGTGTCATTAAAGAAAGTACTTTATCCAAAATGTTTTTTTTTTTAATTGCAAATCGTTATTCTGGACAAGGAAATGGTTGTAATATTCTACTGTAGATTTCTGATATTATCTGAAATGTGTTGTCGTGATTATTTTTTGTTCTCTGTTTCTGCGAATCTACAAAGAGGGTCTGACAAACCACAACCCCTCTTTTTTTTTTGTTCATCAAGGGCCTCTGTGCCTGATGAGCTTTCTGATCGATTCCATTGGCTATCCCTCACCCTAGTGACCGCCATGTCACACATCCTCTCCCTTGTGGACAGGGTCCAGTCCAGCTCTTTCCCCACTGAGCTCACAGCAAAGCCTTTACAAATGCACTTTCTGTAATTGCTAGGATATTTAAAGAGCTGTAACAGGACGGTCTCATTGTGCTGAGGCTTAAAATAAACCTAAGAAACTCATCTTTGGGGAACAGCGGGCCACAGTCATGAGCAGGACGGGGGAGAGAGTCTGCTCCGCTGTGTTAGTAGAATAGATGCCAAGGTGTGCTGCCGTCACAATTCTGCACTCTGTTTCAATCCAGCTCCGGGCTGGAGCAGATGTGGTCTTTGGGCTCCCCTAAGTCAGGATGGTACTGACCGCGTAACAGCAAACACTTTCATTTATCATTTGACATGGTGTATAACCAATGACAAAAATACATTAGAGCGTGCACTTTTATTGTTCAGACCAGCAATATGCACTCTCAGTACCGCGTAACGCATATAGATTGACCAAAGAAATAACTAACTACACATTCGTATTGAGGGTTTTTTTTTAACTAAAAGGGACAGTTAAACTTGTATCAAAAGGGCTAAGTAGCCACAGGTGTCCCATAAGTGAAAAAGGGTAGGCTAAGACATTTTAGACTAGCAGCATTTATTCTGTGGTAAAGTTACTGCTCTCACTGGCTTATTATAACCACTCTTTTCTTGATGATTCGGCGGCGACATCAAACACCAGGTCCTTCTCTGTCTGGAGCTGGATGGAACAAAGCACACCGAGTTCTGGTGGGGGGACCGATGTACACAGGGGGCCTTTGTATGGCTAATGGCTTGGCGCACCGATCCATCCACATCTTTCTGTTGCTCTTCAGGTTCCATCTCGCTGCCTCCAAGGGGTACCTGGATTGTCTGAATCTCCTTTTGGGCCACAGTCTTGACATCACTGCAGCTGATGCCACAGGTATGTTCGCCAGTCCTAGGGACCGGAGCATGTAGTCAGGTGGTAAGGGCTTTCTGAAGCCTGCTGCTCGGAGTCAAACAGGCCCCGTTCACTGACCCATCAGCAAGTGGCGTGACCTCGCATCATGGTGCTAATTCTGCTCTCTAAGGCCTATATAGATATCTTTAGGCTTTCTTGGTCTAAAATCTCTTGAACATAGTTTCTCTCAGCTGATTACAGTAACTGAAAGAGAGAGCCGCTTCTTGAGGCGGTTATTTAAAAACAAAAGCAGGAGAAGCTTTTTAGCAAAGAGGTCACATAGAGTAGTAAACCTGAAAGATGTCTGGCTTGATAGCAGTGACCTCACCATTGATCAAATTGGAGAGAAGTGAGAAGCTGAATCTTTTGAAGTAAGAGGAAAGTTTTAAGGAAGTTAGATTATGCTAAAAGTGGAATTCAAGGTAAACACTGGGGGTGACACCACTACTCTTAGAAAGAGTGCATTAGGAGCTTCAATGTCTAACAGTGGAGATATTAAATCGAAATCCTGAGAGGGCATCGAACACTGCAGTTTCCTCACACTGGGGCAATGGTTTTGCACTCTCGACTGCTATTTATTTTGCATTGATAGGTAGTTCCTTGGTTCTAAAAAGAAGTAGAATCCTGCTTTAGAGCAAGATAAGAGATTGAGTCAGAGCTCTAGCTATTAAGTCTATTAAGTACATCACAGCTGGGCTCAAGATCGTAGTTTCTGCGGTTAAGGTATTGGATAAATTGCTTACTGTAAAGGGGCAAGTCTGCTGGGGGATGATGATGAGCTTCTTTTTCTTATCAGGTTGATGTTGGAAGTGGGGAAGACGGTGGATACATTTCTAGCTCACCACCACTTGCATAACGAGTGGCTCTTGCAGTTCTGTAATCTTTTTCAGAAGCTGTAATTGGAATTAGCAGAGAAATCCATTATTCTGCTTTAATCAGACTCAGTGATTCTTAAATTTAGTGCTTTGTTCCATCGCCTTAGAATCTACATACCTGTATGTATTTTACAGCTGCTAAAACCAAACTGGTTAGAGCCACTAGTGAAGGATTAAATATTAAATATTAGAAACACCCGAGTGTGACACATCCCTAGTGGTTCTGCAAAGTGCAGCTGAAATGAAAATACTTGAGATTTTGCAGTTTATTATTAAAGCTCCCTAAGACAAAGACAAGAGTTTTGTGTGGTTTATTAAAGATCCGCGGAAGTCTGCAGTTCTGGTTTTGTGTTTTATATTGTTCAAATATCATTGGTTTAGGATGTTTGTTCACTCTTCCACTGTGTTCTGCCTTGCAGGTAAAAATGCCTTACATCTGGCTGCAAGAAATGGGCACTCATTGTGTGTACAGAAACTGCTGCAGGTAACAAAACCAATTGTCATTGCAAGAGACTAATTCAATATCGTCTATACATATTTGTCCTTCACTATAATCTCCCTTTTGTGAGAGGAGCAGCAGGGCGTTATTTTGGGTATAATGATCTGTTATGGAAAAACAGGGTGAGTACTTGTCAGAGCTGCGCCTTTGTCTCCACTGAGGTAAGATGACACACCTGCCATCACGTCCCCAAAGTGAAGGGTGTGACATCTGTCCTGCTGTCCTTATTTTGGCTGCAGTTATATAATGTACATGGTGACTGCCTCTCCTGTAATTAATATCACGTGTTATTTGCATAGGATATATTACGTTACCTGCGTATGTATTGTACAGTAAATAACAGTGAGTGTTTTGTGCATACAGTAGGTATATTGAGGAGGCGTAGAATTAGGGAATGATTTGTGTTGTTCTGTAGAGAAGTGGATTTATTGGGATTAAGCCAGTGTTGACATTGCTGCCCTGCAATCAGATGCCTGATGTTTGTGCCATAATCGTACCGTAGATAGCATGTTGGCGCTGTGTCCTGTCTAAATCCTGCTGTCTGTCCCAAGGTTTTGGGTTTCTGCGTCTCTGGTTAGCATCACTGGTCATCCGAGTGCCGTTCTCATTTGGTACCCTTGTTGCTGTAGAGAGAAGGGTTTTTATAGACCAGATGGGGTGGGCCAGCGGGACTCAGGGGCACCAGAAGCCTGAGATCAATTGCACTTCACTAGACTGTCCGTGTACTGTCAGCTGGCTTGAGTTCTTCAGAAGCCCAATCTTCCTTGCTGACCTACTTACAGCTCCTGAAATTCTACAAGTGGCAAATCAATTTTAACACAGCCCATTCAGGAACAATCTCTTTGAGCCAAATGGTCTTTCACATTAGATACTGGAGACGTTGCATTTAAACTGCACTCTTTGAGAAGGAGATTCATTCTGCCATTTTTCCAAGGCAAATTCAAAAGGTATTTTTCCCTTTTGTCCTCCATCTCCGTTAAGATCTCATTTAAACAATCAAGGTTTCTGCTAAACCTGACTTGGAGTTCAATTCACTGGTTGTTACCCGCACTGATCACAGTACTCAGCTCAGCTCAGAATACTCCTGCTGTGTGTAAAATCATAAAAAATTAAGGATTACAGAAGTTGGATGTTAGAATGTCATTATTGTGTTGTGCTGTACCTTCATAGAAGCGTTGACCCGTTATCATGAACTGCATATGTTAATAGTCACTGACATTTATTTCTTGTTGCAGCACAATTGCCCAGTCGAGAATGTGGACCTCCAGGGGAGGACAGCTTTGCATGATGCAGGTGAGCCCTGAACTCCGTACCCTCTCATACCCGAAAGGAGACCTGTATTTCCTTTTTACCACTCTGTGGCCTTAGGATATAACTGGTTTAGTGGTGCTGCTAGTGACTCTGTATGACTGGCTCTTACATTATGTTTAAAGTGAAGAGACGGGTACATCTGTATCCATTTGTACTGCTGGGCTTTTACAGGAGCAATCAGTGTGAACTCCATTGCTCAATGGAACTACATCAGTGCATTCACACACCTGGGATTTGAACCCACATCTGCAAGTTACAAGTTGAGAGCTCTTATCGCTATTCCACACTAGTGATTTAGCTATCAAATAATAATGCTATCATTGATTACCACCTTTGCCTTTGAGCCATTTCGAAAGCTTTTTTTAAAAACTATTTTCAGTAACATCTCTTTATTTCAGTAGGGGGCAGTTCTTTAATGTCACTGCCAATATTTAGATCCCATATTAGTAATGATCAGAGACAGAAATAGTGGCTGAAATCTTATATTCATGGGGAAGAGAGTGAAAGAGTGTAGGGGAAGAAAAAACTGCTGCGATATAGATTAATTTTAGTTCTGGAGAAATAGAAACCATTTAGTCATGGATCATGTCATGCAATTAACAAATGATAAAATATCTAATTTGCTAAATATATGATCAAACGTACTTCTTGGAACAAAATAAAATTTTGTGCAATCAACGCACGCAATGTGTACTAGCAGAGCACATTAATGCATTCCTAATGTATCTGCTTTAACAAGAGACAGGACAAACAATAACAGTAATAAAGACTGTCGGAGCAATAATTCACCTGACTTGATCTTTTCAGTTGAATGACTTTGGCATAATAAGATTTAGTGGAAAAAAAAATGAAGCTTGGCGGGTAAGGTTAGGGAGGTGTCCCAAACGAAACACTTCCTCATCAATTATGAAAGTAAAGGTTAACCAAGTCAGAATTCTAAGGTGATATTTTATATTACCTGTTTGTAGAAGAGTGAGTTTTATTTTCCGTTTTAAACCGACGTCTTCCCTTTACCTCGGGAATGGGAAAAAATGGATGCGTCTAATTCTTAAATTGAAACAATCAATCACCAGACGTTGCCAAGATGGGGGCAAATGATCAAAATCTTTCCATACTCTTTTAAGAAATGAGCCTGGGAATGCTTATCGACTGAGAATGCACTGGATTGCTTTTTAGACGGAATGAGAGAGGAGCAGGTGATGGCCTGCCCATTGTGGAGGGCAGGCTGCCTGGTCTTCTCTGACATGTCCTTTCACTGGGTCTCATGGTCACCAGTTTCTCCACAAGATGATTACCTCAGCAGGAGCTCATATAAGGGTCTATTCCTGAACGTAAATAACAATCATTAATTGATTGATTAAACGTTTTATGTTTGGCATGCTATAAAAAGCTAGTGGACACATACACATTACTGAAGCAGAAATAGAGCTAAAATACAGGATCTTTATTTTTAAAATGCAGGAGCTGTTGTTCCTTTACACTGCAAATTCTAGAAAGAGCAGAATGGCACACTGCTGTCCCTGTAACCTGTCCAACCCAGTGGGCAATGGTTATTGGAGGTGCAGTGACATTCAGTTAAAGCAAATGTGCACAGACTACACAGGGGGGCCACAACGCCCTGCCAGATTATGCAACAAAATGCTCATCTTCAATCTGACAGTCTAGCAATGTAACTTATGTGGTAATGATATTAATTACAAATTAGTAAGTGTTCACTTATACATACTAATAGCAATGTAACTTATGTCCAAACATAATCTAAAGAATGTTATAAGTAAGCATGTTTACCTGATTAGTAAATTCAACATATATAATTGAAAATGTGTGAATGTTATAGGCAGATGATGAAGTCGGGCACTTGGGTGAAATAATGGAATATCTCAGCCAGTAACCAAAATTTCGCTGAAGTCTGTTTCACAGCGGTCTGAGAGCAGTTAATCCTTGCTCACTGGTAGTTTCCGAAAGAGAACAGTCCTGCCCTAAGTAGGGCTTCAGAGTCCTCAATTACTTTTATGTTGCAAGTAAAGACTGACTCCAGCAGCACAACAGAAAGAGTTTAATGTGCAATTACAGCTTAAGATTGGCTTTATTTACGGCCATAACGTGCCCAAGGAGTGCTGGAAGTCCCGGGGAAGTCCTAGATGGTCAGATAGCATGACTGCAAGCTGACCAGCAAGAGCAGGTGGAAGACCAAGTGCCTGATTTCACTGCTTGCCCACATCACATTGTTTTTTTTTATGCTAAAGAGCTGTTTATCTTGGGTTTCAGTGATGGCTGGCTGTTCCTCCAGTGTCAAGCTGCTGTGTGATAGTGGGGCTTCTGTAAATGCTAAAGATTTTGTAAGTATGACAATTAAACCTGAATGGGCATACAAATGATAGACTTTTCATACTGGTTAGAACCTTTATGTCTGTTATATGAAAATGTAGAGGGATAGAGTAAACATTTTGGCACAGCTAAAAACATGCGTCTGACTTTTTCTCAGTTATAAGCGAAACTGAACTGAAGCAATGACATGTCTCTAGGCTTCTTGGAACAATCGGTAGGAGCAAGCCCATTTAGAAATGCGTGTCATCTGTTCCTCCACCTCACACGATCGCTGTTGCGAAGGGCTGCCCAGCCAGTGACTGACTGACTGACTTTCCTCTCTCTCTGTCCATCTCCCTCAAAGGACGGCCGGACGCCTCTCGTTCTCGCCACCCAGATGTGCCATCCCTCCATTTGCCAGCTGCTGCTGGAGCGCGGGGCAGACATCGGCATCCGAGACAAGCAGAACAAGTGCGTAGCTCGGTTCACACAGGCTGAAGTGTGATTATCGACGCTCATCGACCTGGGTGTTTCTGATCTCCTGTCAGCTGCCATTGTTGTTAAAGTTGGTTTTTGTTTGTGAAATTTTGGAATTTTGTCATCTATAAATGAACAAGAGGGCAAAAACGAGGTTCAAGGATCTCCCGAGTATTTTATGTAGTTTTACTCTCTGGGCACATTCCCTTTGTTATAATAGTACAGCATTGATAATAAGGGTATGTTCATAGCAGTGATAGTAAAAATGCAGTTGATGGGCATCTCCAACTTCTAACGTCTTCCACTTTTCCTGTTTTTGGCGATGATTTCCCTACACTTCATTTCCTTCAGGGCACAAATCTGGTACAACTGTCCCATTCCCAGAAGAATGAGTAGAGATTGGAATACAATAGAGTTGATGTTTCTGTTTATTTCTAACGATGCCGCAGAATTAAAAAATCAAAGCCACATGATGTATACAGTCTGCAAGCCAAGGTGTTCTCGAGACCATGTGCAGAGGAAGAACAGATTTGGCAGTTTTTAAGGAAAATACATAAAAGAAACCCACCTCATTAGGCACTACAGAAATGTCTGAAAGCCAGAATTTTTTATTTGAAGTAAAAATGTTTAATCTTCATTCTTATACAGCTAAGATTTTAGTTGAAATCTATGTGTAAATTTAGTTGGATTTTAAGTCAGCAGGAAATGTTTTAATTTATTCAGGAGCCCTCATTTTTCATTAAACAAATCTTTGTTCTCTCGTCAGTACTAGCCTATTCATCACAAATTGCTGGAAAGACTTTGTATTAAAAAAATCAACAGCAAGATGGTCTGCTTCTCTGAAACATGCTGCCTGTGGCACGTCTGAGCTAATCAGAATTTTAACATCCCTGCGTAGAGAAAAATGCATTGCCTTGCTTGAGATTAAACCTTTCCCTGCTGATGGGGAGACTCCTGGGATGCAGATCCTGAGCTGTTTAAAATTTGATCTTAACAATTCTGATTTAAAAAAATATTCACAAAGGAATAATAAAAAAATAGGACTGTAAAGAAATCTCCAGCTAAAATTCAATACAAAAAAATAGTGGAACCATAATTTTTTCACTGGAATCTTTTTAAGTCCAAATAATGTGTTCTGCATTGTAGTATGAGACTTGAAATTACAAGAGGACACCTTTTGATCTGACTGATTTGTTAATTAATCGCGTTCCTGTTCTAATTGTAGCTTCTCATGCAGTTGTTTCCCAGTGAGCCGGTCAGGCTTGTGACTTCATGGGGGGGAGTTAGTTCCAGGCACACAGGGGCTTCTTGCATAAAGATGGGCCCGTTGTTGGGACCCCCCTCTGTAACAAAGTGTAGTTCAACCAGCGGTGGTGTTGGTCCTTGTCTGTGCCGCGCAGGACTGCCCTGATCCTGGGCTGCGAGTACGCCTGCAAGGACGCGGTGGAGGTCCTGCTGAAGAGAGGCGCCGACGTGACCGCCGGCGATGTGTTCGGGCATGACAGCTATCACTACGCCCGGCTCAGCAAGGACGCCGAGCTGGTGACTCTCGTCAAGGAGGCTCTTGACAAGGTTGTTAGAGGTGAGGGCGGATTTACTGTCTCAACGAGCTTTTTCACACCAGATCCTCCAGCCCTCCAGCCCACCCCCCTCCGTCTATATGTACTTGAGCTACTGCACCCTTTTTTATTCTAGCCCCTCTTTTCTGTATGGGAAGGATGATTCGAATGCTCTCAGGGATGTGGAGCCTCTTCCCCGCTGAGTGTTAATGAGTCAGTTCCATTTTCTTTCAAATGATCAAATTTGATGCGTTTCATTTGAGATTCTTAATTACGCATAGAAACACGCTCTCTTTGGTGTAATTTTAGCGTGGCGAACTGTGCCGGTGTTGCACTTCACAATTACACTACTGCACTTTTCTTCTTGGAGGAATGATTAGGAACATCCCACAAAAACAACATCTTTTACGCTTTTTGTGCCACCATCTGAATAAACAGCTGCCTGTGTGCTATTTCATGAGGGTGTAAAGTCTGTCTTTGGTACTGGTTGTCGACTGATGCATTTGCATCATGACAATAGTTCTGGGTTGCATAAAGGAATAAACATCACCCGCGATGTATACAACATAGACTATAACAGCAATTGCTATGGTAACCCTGTTGAATATTATTTGAAGTTTTCAAATTGAAATTCAAAGCCTGTTTTTTGTTAATCACAAAAATCTATTACTGTAGTTGTACTGCAAAAAGCACTGTCACTTACATTGAAACCAGTCAGTGCAAATGCTTGTTGATTGAATCTATTAAATTCCTGTGGCTTCTCTCTTGAACGTAGCCCTGAAAATGATGATTTGTCATTATTTTAAGTATTCTGTTCCCTTGCAATTTTCTCTTTCAGTCAGGAGCACACTCCGTAGATGTTATCATAGAAAATGCCATTATCTGAAGTCAAACAATCCTTAACTAGGAGTATTATAGAATATATACAGTATGAAGCTTTTCACCATTATATAAAAGTATAAAGAATTGCATGAAAGGCTTAAAAAGTATAAAGACAAATATATTTTCTTAATTTGTCATATTCTTGATTAGTAGATTTCTCAGTTAATGCCAAATAATGTAATGTCCCCACTAAAATAGCCGCATGGCTTTGGTAGCATGTAGTTCATGTAAGATAAGTGTTTTTTTGAAGATGCAACATGAAAAGATTCTTAACTTTTGTTGTCCTCCAACATGTAGGTATTGAACCCACATATGTACATCTTATCTATAGACTTGGAAGGTGACGACTAACTTGTTTTTTTCTTTTTTTTAGCGAAGGAAGCCGCAAAGATAGAACAGATGTTTCATCAGGTAATGTTGCGTCTTGGCAGTGAATGACATATTTCATTCTTGAAAAAGCCAAATCCTGGAGCAAAATACTTGAATATTGGTCCTGAATGTTATACTAACTTGCCCGTTTCTTTGGTATTGTGTGTGTGGTGTTCTGGTATATTTGATCCATTTAAATAGAAGAGAAATGGAAGGCACTGAGCTTCTGAAAAGCAAGAGTGGGAAGTGTTGCTTTAATGATTTCCAAGTTTCCCCTTTTTAATTGGAAAAAAAGTTTGTCACATCCTGTATTGTGCCATCCTGCTTGACCTCTGTATGAAACGGGTCCTCAGGCCGCCTGTGTGTGTTTTAAAGTCAGGGCAGGAGAAGCGGGGATGAAGTGACTTGGGGATGTTAATGATGGCAGTGTCATGGTGGCAGTTTAGGTGTTGATTCTGAAGCTCAGGACTAGTGTTCCTCCGTGGGGTCAAAGTGTCCCTCAGGAAGATTATTCAATTAATTGAAATGCAAATTGAAACTGATCTGGGGGTGGAAATTGCATAGGAGAAAAACTCCATTTTGATTATCCAGGAGGAGATAAACCTAAACTGAAGCACAGCCTTGTCAAAGTTAGCTGTAATTCTGACATTTATGTAGCCCATGGTGATTTGTGCTAGTATCTGTAGGTGCTTTACAGAAGAGTGTAGGAAGACGGGGCAGTAGGGGGCTTAATTGTCATTGATGGTAATTTATTTCATCATACACTGGACGTTTGGATGCCCTAAACCAATTTCTCATTTCCAGCATTCAACAGATGTCTGGAATATGAATATTTAACAGCACTGACCTTTGTTCTCTGTGCAAAATGAATTTTATTGACATGAGGATAGAAAGCTCCAATCTAGTGCTGTCAGCAGAAGAGAGCACATATTGAGCCAAATTGCATCACAACTTTAATATATTGCGTATGCAGAGGGGAAACATTAGATCACCCAATTGAGATCAGTTTATGTAAAAGCAATTTAGGTTGTATGAGTTCCGTGGCCAGACAACACAGTAATGATGGGCTCATCGGCCAACTTGGTAAATGTCGAGTGAGTTCAGGAAGTGCCTTTCAGGACAAGGTACTCTGTATGTGTGAGCTGATCACCTGTACAGCTCAGGGTGATGATCCATTTCAAATTTAAAACTGCAATGTGATTAATTATGAGACCTGCTCCTCAGGGAAGTTTAATTTCAAAGGCAAGAATTGGTATTTATGTGCTAAGATGACAAATGTGCACATTGGTGCAAATATGCCATTTCCTTTCAGTTCTACCAGTGAAGTTCTGTTTATGTGATTCCGCTCTCAAAACTGTCAACAGCATGCTATTATTATTATTATTATTATTTTTGACCTACTCATATCTCAAATATGTATGGATGTGATTTTTAATTCTCTAAAAAAGAAAAACGGATTAATTATTAAAAACCACAGAAAAACGAGAGGTGACCGTTTAATATGTGACAGAATAAATTTTGCTGTTGCTTGCTCTGCTCTGGCCGGCGTGGTCTTCGCTGCCACCTAGTGTCAACGCGGAACTGCTGCCTCCTGATAAGAATTCATTAGTAATCCCTGTTTTCACCAGTCCTCCTTACAGACCCTTTTTTGTTTATTGCAGTCAGTGGAGCACATGACTGTTGAGGCTGAAGTAAATGTTCGGGACCAGATTATTCAAGTGAGTTGCGCCAGTGCCTTATCTCTGCATGTGTAGGCCATCCATTGACACTGGTCAATTACCTGCTACCAGATGTGCTAGATGGGCCAAATGGCATCCTTTTGTTTAAGTGGAGCTTTGTTGCAGCAGCGGTGGAAAAAAGCAGAGATGAATCTTTGCACATGTATCATTAGTGTAATGATTGATGGAAGGGGATAAGTGTATGGAGGAAGGGATTATGTAGTTTCATAAACTACAGGGTAGAATTCATCAAGTAAACTAGATGCTTTAGTAAATGACAAAGAGTCCTAACCTGTTTCATGCTGAATTTTGAATTCTAAAGTATAAAAGCTTTGGTATGTATTCATTGCCTGCCTCCAATTTCTAGCTGCTAAAGAGACTTTGGATTCAAATGAGCCTGATGGCAGAAAATAAGCCTCAAACACCTAATAGCACACTATTTTGATAGTGAACAACCCTCAGAATGGGGTCTTTAAAAGACAAAAAACAGGTGCTCATCATGACTCATTAAAGCTAAAAAGCTGATCCAAAATGTGTTCATCTCCGGTTTAATGTTAATAGCAGAAGTGCTTTTGTGGTTTAATTAAGGGCTTGGAGAAGGAAAAGAAAGACCTAAAGGACACATTAAGAAAGTTTCAGCAAGACCAGAAGACTCTGCTGGAGAAAGTCAGTGGACTGCAACAGCAGCTTGAACAGGTGAACAGGGGTAGCTGACTTATTCCCTTCTAAGAATTCCCAATCATTTATTTTTTGGGTTTGAGCCAGAAAAATGTATGTCTGATGATATCCAGAATTTCTAGATCTCCGTACTTTCTTTGATGTTTAAAAAGAGCAAAATATCCTTATATGACATACAAAATAACCTAAAAGCCTTACAGGTTCTCCAAAACCTGATACAATAACTTTATTACTGTATAATAATAATAATGCTCTTGAATCTTTAAAACACTTTTTTAGTTAGAAAATTATGCATTAACAGTATTTGAGCAACAGTTTTCCATTATACTCCTAGCCAGTGCAGTCAAGCACAAATCTGTTATTTGTGCAGATATGATAAGATAAAATAAGTTTGAATGGTCGGTCATTTTTGAAGTCCCTGTGGTGCTGTTTGACTCAAACTGGAATTGTGGGGTTTTGTGGGCTCCTGGTTAAGGTTACATTGGTTACACAAAAAAAGGGCTATAATGAGGGAAAATCAAGACTTAACAATGTTTTCACTCTTAAATCTTATTCTTTTTCTTCAGGAGAAGAAAACAGTGGAAGATCTTTGGAAAGAAGTATGTCTAAAAATCATTTACTCCTTGTTACATTTTTTCTAGTTTCTATATAGAAGCTAAGTCCGCATTTTTGCATTATGGAATTTGGGTCAGGTAGATGAAGCAGTGACCCCTTGGTTCTTTGTCCTTTTGCAGTTTTTTCATTTCAGAGAAAGTGTCTTAATTACAACTTGTAAGAGGGGGGCCTGTGCTTTTTTTAAACCGGCTCCTGTATTCCGAAGTGTGAAATTGTTTCTGCTGTGATGGATGAGTCTGCTGCTCTGGGACGCCTGAAGCCCCTCATTATCAGGCTGTGCAGCGCAGGGCGTGAGGCTGAGCCCGCGGGCTGCCTGGCCCGGTGGCCTGTCACTGGGGGTGGGGAGGCAGGGGCAGTCAGCAGCTTCCCACAAGCTATGAAAACACACTTCACATTTTTAAAACTAATAATGTCTTTCTACCCACTGATCTCCAGCACAAAAATAATCTCCCTCCCAGCTTATTGTTTCCGTGTTATGATGTTACTCTGGGTTCTTAAAGGGATATCTAAAAACCCTCTGCCAATATTGTATTTCAACTCCTGGAAGATAATGAGCAAGGTGTTAGTAAAACGAGTGGCAAGATTTCCAAGCCCTCTCCCACTGAGTTCCCTGATGAAGGTATTGATTCTAATGTTCTAGCGCTGAGATTGCATCAGGATGGCGAATAGTCTGTGAGTGCTATTTCTCTGCTTGGCTTTCAGAGGGAACAACTGAAGCTGGTGGCGAAAGGAAAGGAGAAGGAGGAGAATGTGAAGGCCGTGGAGACTGTGAAGGTCCAGCTGTGGAAAAATGTGGTAAAGTTTGAGGCTCTAATTATTATGATTTCTTGTAAAAATAAATTGTGCCATCCAGCCATCTGAACTTCCAGAAACTTGAGAATATAATAATAAAAGCAATGAATCTTATAGTGTTTCTATAACCCCTGTAACTGATATGTCTGATGCTGATTTATTTGCTCTGTGTGCCAAAAGAACAGCACCAGGTCTGCTGTCGCTTTCTCTCAAAATGATCATCGTTGCTTTTATTTTATAGGGCGACTATTCTGGTCAGTCCGTCATTAAAGGTGGGCAGCGTCTTTATTTCCAGTTGTTTGTTACGTTGGTGTTGTGTTTAAGGTATTCATTCTGACTGCAGCTGCTTGTTATTTGTTTCAGGGAAAGATCCCAAGCTTGTGAAACAGTCTCACAGCTTTGATTCTGCACAGGTAATCCTGCTCCCAAAATCATCCTTATGCAGGACTAAGCTTTTTTTGTTTCGCAAACATGTTTAAAATGAATGCTAGCAAACTGGGTAACTTTCTGCATTTGAAGACGTCTCATTTACCTGAAATAGTCCTATCCTAAGACTTAGAGGAGCTAATCCCAAACTGTGATCCATGCCCTTTTCCTGTCCTCTTGAGTCAAGCCATCTTTATAAATTATCCTACTTCCCTTCTGTCCTCATAAGAAAAGAACCTTGTAAGACCCCCGCTTGTTTCTCCCTGTACCTGTGTAGATCCTGCAGCCTTCCTCTCCGACCCGGTCTGTGTCCAGACCGCTGGAGTTGTCTCTGCCGGGGCCGGCGTTCTCCAGCGAGAGCGAGGCGCTCAGGAAGGACATCGAAGTGCTGCGGAAGAGGCACGATGCCGCGGCGGAGGAGAATGCACGCCTGCAGAGCCAGCTGGCCAGCAAGAGCCTGGAGTGCCGGGAGCTGGCGGAGAGCTGCGAGGCCACCAGGCGGGACTCGGACAGACAGGTGCGCGAGATGGAGGAGGCCCTGAGTGACGTGCAGAAGAGGATGGTGGATTCAGAGGCCAAGGTGAAGCAGCTGCAGGCCCACGTGGTCGCCGTCAGGGAGCACCTCAGTAGCCAGATGGTGGAGGAGCTGAGGGGGCAGCTGCAGGAGGTGAAGGGGAAGTACGAGGGGGCTTCGGCCGAGGTGGGGCGGGTCAGGAACCACCTGAAGCAGAGCGAGAAGGCCCTGGAGGAGTACAAGCAAAGTGAAGGGAGGCTGGCGGAGGACGTGGAGAGGCTGACGAGGGAGCTGAGCAAGTTGAGGAAGGAGAGGGAGGAGGCGGCCGTCAGGCTGATGGACGCGGAAGGTCGCATGAAGGAGATGGAGGCCAGGCTGGCCTCGGCCGTGCCGGCGGAGAGGTTTGACAACATGAAGAACCTCCTGACGAATGCGGTGGACGAGAAGGAGAAGCAGGCGTCGGAGCTAAGAGAGGACTACGAGAGAGTGCTGGAGGAGGCGACGGAGCTCCAGAGGGAGCTAGAGGTGCACAGAGCCGAGGCAGCGAGGCGTGTGCCTCGGGAGGAGCACGAGAGGCTGAAGGCAGCCCAGGAGGAGCAGACTGCCAGCCTCGAGAGGAAGCTGTCAGAGGTCACTGCAAAGAGCCAGACGCTGATCAAAGAGATCAAAAAGAGCCAGCAGGTGAATGAGCAACTGAGAGAGCAGGTGCAGGATTTAAACAGTAAGATTCAAGCTGAGTACGTCCCACTGAAGTCGCACGAGGAAGTGAAGAGGTCCCTGGACTGCACTGTCGAGGAGCTTAGCAACAGCCTGGCAGGAGCAGAGCGGAAGATCAAGCAGACTGAAGCACAAATGCAGACGCTTCAAACAGAAAAAGACACTGTGTGCGAGAAAATAACTCACTTACAGGCCCGGTATGTCCCGCCAGAGAAGTTTGAGGAGGAAGTGAGCATGCTGTCGTCTCTTAACAAAAATCTGACGCAAGAGCTTGAGGAGTTTCGGAGGAAATACCAGGAAAAAGAGCAGCAGCTGGAGAAAATGATGTCCGAGAATGTGTCCATGAAAAGGAGAGTGCAGGAGGAGTTTGTGCCAAAGGGAATGTACGAAGAAAGCAAAAGCAAGTTAGGCAGTGAATTGGAGAAGGCTAACGGCGAGATTTCCAGGTTGGTAAAGGAATGCAAAGATGCTCAAGAGGAATTAAAGCAAGTGAAAGAAGGAAATGTGATGTTGACAGAGAAGCTACAGGTCATTCAGACACAGTTGGAAAAGGAATACATTAGCCTCAGAGATCACGAAGCCATAAAGAACTCGCTTAAAAGCACCGTATCTGAACTTGAGTGCAAGAACAAGGAGGCTGCGTGTATTTATCAGTCTGCCCAGGAGGAAACGTTAAGGCTGCATAAAGAACTTGAAGAGCAGAAGAAAGAATTAGATACAATACAGGAAGCTATTCATTCCAAGTTTGTTCCAATATCTGTCATTGAGGAAAAAGAAAAAACTTTCAATGCAACAGTTAAGGACATGAAAAAGCATTTAGCAGAGCTGCAGGAAAGGTACAGTCAGGCTAAAATGGAAGGAGAACACTCTAAACATGAGAATGAGAAGCTGAAAGTAGAGATGGTCTCTGTGCAGCAGAATGTTGAAACGTGCTATGTAACCAGTGAGAAATGCCAAGAGATTGAACTTGCATATAAGGAAAAACTGCAGGGGCTAACCCATCAGCTTAGAGATTTTGAACAGCAGTACAAAGATGTGACGCTACAAAAGAAAGAGCTGGAAGAGCAGAATGCCCAGTGCAACCTGGAGATTCAGAAACTGCAGCGGCAAATGGAAACGGACTTCATCCTTGTGGAGCGGTTTGAGGCCATGCAGCAGTCGGTCAACAGCAGGATTCGGCAAGCTGAGGAAGAGTGTGCGAGAGCGAAAGAGGCGCACAGGCAGGAACTGGAGAAAGTCGCCATGCTGGAGAGGGAGCTGCGGAGTCAGAGAGCCAACGCGATGCTTCTCACAGAGCACGTCCAAGTGAAAGAGGCCTTGGAGAGGGAGGTGACCGAACTGAAAAGAGCTCTGGAAGAGGAGGAAAAGAAGAACTCGGAACACACGGAGGAAATTGCCTCCCTGCAGGTTAGACTCCTCAACACTGCCAAAGCGGTGGAGGACTTCAGAGCAGAGGGGTCTGAGGAGCTGCTGGGGCTGCAGTCCGAGAAGCGCAGGCTCGAGGCCGAGGTCGTCAGCCTGGGCCACCGCTTGTCCGGCCTCGCTGAGAAGTACGAGGAGCTGTCCCGTGAGGCAGCACGGGCCCAAGAAGCAGAGTCAAACGCAAGGACCGAGAACCAGCGGCTCCAGGAGAGAGGGCACTCCATCGAGACTGAGATTAAAGAGCTGAAGGAGAGGTATGACAAGTCTTTGTCCACCATTGGAGATCTGCAGAAGAGAATACAAACATCCTCAGAGCAGACAGAAGCCAAAGACAAGAAGGTAAGTGGGCATAAATGCCTATATTTGATATCAAGAAAATTCACAGATATTTTTCTACTTACTCTTCATATGTTTAACTTTTTCAAGTTTTAGAATGGGTTAACAATGATTAAATCATTTTATTATTTGATGATTTAATTTGTAGTAATGTCTAAGGATCCCCCGCTTGCGAAACTACTTTAGGGACAGGCTGGTCGGCTTCTCTGCAGTCGGGCACTTGGACATACCCCCCGTCATGACTGTGCATTATGTCTCAGTCCAGGTGTGAGCGATCCTGGATACTGAATTGGGCCTTATGCCACAACACACTTGAGAAGAGTTAGAGAAATATTAATGGTGATCCCCGTAAATTGAAAGGAATGAAAGGGCTGCAGAAAGAAAAAAATTAAATTATCCGGTTAACCAGTCTGCATCCAGTACAGATAAATCCTGAATTTGCGGAATGATGGTGCCACTATTGGGGACACAAGTTGTTCTGAATAGACCTGCGGGGGAGAGGGAAATGCACCCTTCTCCATAAGATGGGGAGAACGCCGTGTGGTACTGACAGAAGTGCTTTGTTTTTACGCTTAATGATGATTCTCCCGGGGCTTTTGTAAACAAAACACTCACTTCACCAGTGCACAATTAAATCAGAGATTGGATACCAAAGTGAGGATCTGGGTAAATCAGTGCAACCCCTTACAGAGTGTGCTGTAAAACAACCTGACAAAGTCAAGCTTACTAAGTTTTTTACATTTACTGTAGTAAGTGATGAAACCATTCTCAATGTCTGATTTTCTCCGTGTTCTGAGAAACTCATAATACCATCTATTTCACATCTTGTTTTCTTTTAACAAACATAGCAAATGGGAATTGTGGAAGTTGAAAATTCTTATGTGTTATTATTTTGGAGGATCCAACTTTTTTTCCTATTACTCAATTAGACACTATGTAGAGGAATGGTGTCTCCAAATGTGTGTGTTTTTGTTTTGTTGGTACTCCTCTTCCTGGCATTGTCCAGGTTATTAGTGTATCTTTGATCCATGGTATAAACTAAAGCCTCAGTGTCAGGGCAGACACAAATGTACTTGTCTGCTCTTTTTATGCTTGGTGTTGCGTTAATTCAATGCACAAGGACAGCAGCACATTTGGAATAGCTGTATGATTTAAATGTCATATCCCTTTGCGTCTTGATCAGCTTGGAATGGTAGGTGCCGTTTGGTTTTTGCAATTGGTGTATGAGCACTGACACTGTGTGACAGATCACGGAGCTGCTGAATGATGCAGAGAGACTGAAGCAGGCCCTGAACAGCCTGGCCATGCGGCCCTACACCGCCAACATGCCCACCAAGAGGCAGACACAGCAGGTTGACACACTCCAGGCGCAGATCAAAAGCCTACAGCAACAGCTGGCTGTAAGTACAACCCTGAGGCACTGAAAATAGACAGGGCTCAGCAAAAGTGCCTGCCTTGTTAATTGCTAAAAAGCTTCTTAATATTTCAAGATGCATTGACGAGCTTGATGTTCAGGACTGCACAAGCGACTTGTCCGGCAGCAACTTTCCTGGTCTTCGTGAAGAAGATTTGTAGGATTTTTTTTGTTCATTCCAGCTTTGATCTGTGCTTAGTTTTTTTTTGTACATGGTTCGAACAATGCAAGCATTTTATGCGCGGTTAAACCAGAAGACTTTCAGTTTTTCAATTTTATCAGCAAAATGTCTAAATAAGATTTCTTCCCTACAGAAGAATTTGCCTAGTTTAATTTAGAGCTTGGGAAACTATATGCACAGATTTGATTTTTTTTTTAATGTTTCTGGTCTAATTCAGTTGTTCGTCTAATATAATCTTTCTTGGTTTGAAGTCCAGTCATGCTTTGGTACCAGGTAGGGGAATTATTACACAGCCTCATGAATTTAAGCGAGGACGTGCTAACACTTCCTTTACTTTAATTGAATCAACAGAAAGGCCTAGTGTGAATAAAAGCATGATTACAAATGAGCAAAACTTTCACTTTTCTGAGCTTTAGGTATCACCACACACAACATTTAATTCAATATTTAAAATCTGAACACAGCAAAGGAAACCAAATAAGCTAATAATGTCACTGATGCAAATTGCTCAGGATTTCACATTCATTTCGTCAGTACATTTTCCAAGCACCCCGTCGTTACTGCTTGCTGTCTGAAATAAAAAAAAAAGATCTTGGGGCGAAAAAATGGCTTTCAGATGGGGCAGCACAGATATCACATAACAGACTGGCTCAATTTACTTCTGTGTTCTGTCAGGTTACATGGAAAATATTAAAACATGCGTAAAACGCAGTCAGACTTGATATTGGTTTTGAAAATAGAAACCAGGTGTTACATGAATATTAACCAGTTTTCTGTCAGGCAATAGATGAACTCTTCCACAACAAACACATTAATAAATTGAAAGGGATGGCCATGCCGAATAAGGCAAGATTAAGTCTGGCAGGGTATCAAGAACTACTGAACCTGTTATGATTTTAAAAGGAAAGTTTCAAATTTTCCATGAATAGGTGTTTGTGAGGTTTAAATGGACATTTATAGTAATGAGAGAAAGCTGAAACCGAAATCAATAGACCTGTTTTGATCTATGTGAGATGCGCTGGGTGTGTCTATTCTGTGAGCAGGTCCAGCATCATCCAGGTTCACTGTGCTCTTCCTTGGGCTCTCTGCTGGATCTGGGCAAGTTTACCGAGTCCATGGCCCCTATAGCAAGGCTTTTGCATGACTGTACATTGCTACTCTGAATTTTGAAAACGAGGCAATTGCCAAACTGTAATAAATCACAGTTCTGCGTCTAGAGCTTGCCAGTCACAAGGTCTGTACCAGGGGACTGATTATGCCTGTGTACTCCTGTGGGACTCTTTGCCGGAGCTGTCTGGCTTCTCTCAAAGCTTCTACCTGGGCACCCTGATGATAGGGATATCAAGCAGGCCTCACAGGGGAAGGCCTCTTTTATAAAATGTGACAGTCAAAAATGTGATTTGTGTGTACAATAATGTCATTGAACCTGAGTCTGTGAATGACCTCTTTAATGCTTCTGGAAAATGAAAATAGATGAGAAAATGCCAATAAAAATCTTTTTATAGCAGCATTTCTCATGGCAGCACATTTCAGGCTTGTTTTTGGGATGCCTGGAGCCTTTTTCTAACTCGGCGCGGTGTCATGTCTTATCTTCCCCTGCAGGATGCTGAAAGGCGGCACAGGGAAGTGGTTTCTATTTATCGGACACACCTCCTCAGCGCGGCCCAGGTACAGTAGGGTCCAGAGCTCTCACTGCAGGAAGGAAGCATTTTAACTTCTGCACTTGTCATGCACAGACTACGTTTCTGAAGACTGAGGTTTCAGTGGTAAAAACTGAGAGTGCTACTATAATTCTCTGAAATAGAAAAGTTCTGTAGTGAAAGCATTTTAAAACTATTTGATTGCATCACGGGAGGTGATATGTCACTTCCCTATATTTCTCAGTTCTTTCTATAAACTGAAAGTGCTTTCCCACGCGTTGGTGGGCAGAGAGCTGTTGTAGGTGGATCACAGCAAACTGAAGCACTGTGAGGGAACTTAATCTCTGAAAAACCACCACTGAGGTCTGGTGTTTCTAAAACAACTCATGCCTTATGTAAAAAGGAAAAGCAGGAGTAGGTCATGTCCTCGTATACTGTTAAAGGAAAGTCTAAAAACGTGTTTGCTTGGTTGCCTCAGCTCTTCTGTGTGCTCTCTCCCCTCTCCCACAAGGCTGCATAGCAGGTTGTGCCGTGTGGTGAGGCAGATTGTTTTCAGGCTGTTTCGTTGTTCCTGCAGGGCCACATGGACGAGGACGTGCAAGCTGCCCTGCTCCAGATCATCCGAATGAGGCAGGAGTTTGTGTGCTAGTCGTCAGCCGAAGACCCGCGAGTCCGGGCGCCCTGGTGCCGCTGAACCTCCATGACGTCGGTGACCGCGGCCCTCGCATGCCTCTTCTTCCTGGATGAGAAAAGAACACTTTCGATTTCGATGGCAGTGCCAAGGGAGGACCCTTGGGGGCTCTTGACGTAGGGTTCAGCTGCTAACCCAGGCGAACAACTCGAGCCCAGCCCCCAGCGGCTTGCCCATGCCGTCGTCACCAGTCTCCCAGGTACAGGAGCTGAGTTTGCATCGGGCCTCTGTTGAGAAACATCCAATCAAAAGCAAACCTTTGTGCAGAAACCCGTGGAATTTCACATCCTTGCAGTTCCTTGGAATTATATGTATTCTACAGCAGATCAAATTATGGGGAAAGAAAGAGTAAATTGTCTTCTCCTAAGGTGCCCATCGCACCTCCTGGAGGTTCTTCTTCTCCAGTGGGAGAGCTGTAATTCCCAATATTGTTCACATCTCCTTGAAGACCTTTTGTAACCCTGGGCCACACATGTGTCAGGGTTGGCAATGTCTTTTCCCCAGACTAAAGAGACATTTTTTTTCCCAAATACCATTTTTAGGATGTTGGTTTGCTCCCTACGAAACCAGCTGTGTGATTAACTTCATCTCCATAATGCAATACAGCATTTGTGCTTGTATGCAAAATATTAGAAGGACAATAATTAATACTGAACTATGCAGTTTTTAGGTCGAAGTGTGTGACAGTCATAGGACAGTGCAGAAAATGGTAAAACAATAACTAAGGTACATTATCAGAAAGAGGCTGCTATTTGTGGAGAAAGTCAGTTCTAACCTAGGTTTAGTAGTGATATTTTTAAAACATTTTTTCAGCTGTTGTTCAAATGTCATAATAACTGACATAATAATAACTACAAAAATAAAGATGACCAATTAATGGTCATCTAGGCAGTCCTGTCTGAATGTACATATTGGAAAAAACCTGAGGGAGTCTTTTTTACCAAACTAATTTTAAAACATTAAATTGCAGTTTGTCAGGTCAGGCTTCATATGCATTACATGTTTCAGACTGGTAACGCAGTGGCAAACTCAATTCAGTTACGAAATGGAATAATTCCCATTTATATAATATTGTATTCCTTGATGCTTTTCCGCAGCATTAAATCCAATATGGCCTAAATAGTAAAAACGCTGGCTCATGGTTGATATGTTTTAAAAACTATAGCATTTAAACTAACTGTTCATATATATTTATTGAGAAACTATATAATATAGGTAGTAAAAGTGATTTGATTCAGTTTAAGTATTTAAACTGAGTATTTAGGTTTATTTAAATACTCAGTTTACTGAGTATTTAAACTGAGTATTTAAGTTTAGGTGAAATCAGCCAACGCTGACTTTGGAGATTACTTTCCTGGAATTGCCTTCCTGAAACGTGTTTGACCTTCTCACTCCTCTGCAAAAGCAGTGGAATGTTCGCTAAGAAATGTATAGAATTGGACGGTATGGAAAACATTCTGCTTTCCCATATAAACTGAAATAGAAATGATCATTTCTGAGGCCAGGGATCAACTCCTAAAGCAGTTTTATGTTTTAAACTAGTCAGAATGAAGTCAATTCTTAAAGCAAAGCAAAAAGGTCAGAAATGGCTAGCATTTCCTACTGTGAAACATTACAAATCCACCCGAGCTCCTTAATTTGTTTTTACAATGCAGTCCAGGGTGCATCTATTATTGGCATGTTTAATGCTATTCCTCAAGGAATTCTGCTAATGCTTCAGCCAAATAAACACCTCTTTGTGTGTGTTCAGCAGACGTATTAAGAGGCAAAGGCTGTGGACTGCGGGATGTCATTGCACTGAACTGGGGCAATGAGTGACAGGCTCTATGCAAACCCAAACCGTGCGGACTTTCACCAGTTATCCTGCATCAGGCTGGCCGATTGTGATGCTGTAGGGCCCTCGCGTCTTCAGTTCTTCTTTCCATCTTGACCCATAAACTAATTTGGCTCATTATTGGCTTAACTGGACCAATCTAGCCGCTTCTCCCAGCTCTGATGCTTTACATAGGTCTGGAAAGCCCACAGAAGCGTGGGCCCTCAGGGTTCTGAGCTAGACCTGTGTGTCTTCCATGGTTGTATGTGTCTTCCATGTCTTGTCTGCTGGTTTGGGTTTCATCGTGCGCTGCCTCCAGGAGCTCTGCCCACAGTCCTCTGAAGTCTAGCCAGTTCTTCCCTTCAGGTTCTGCAGGTTACGTGCTAGGTGTAGGTTGCCATGTTTGAGGAGTGTGTTTCAGTGAGAAAGGTGGGCCAGATTTCATCCCAGCAACCACCGTGCTGCCTTACAATGTCCTGTCATGGACACCACTGGGAGGAAACTGGCTCCTGTCTTGTGATTTGGCAGGCCAAGTCACCCTGTAATTTAACTAGATAAAAGAACTGTATCTTTTTATTTGTGGTTAAAAATAGGAAATTGGAGTTCCAACAAAACCTTTTTTTGCCTTACAGATATATTTTTTCAGTAATAGCTTTGTTATACTTTGATTAAGCACTATGTATTGTGATATTCAGCAGGACTGGAACAGAATAGTGTAACACTTGTTCTATTCAACGTTTATCTTGTCACAAGGAGAACATTATGTACGTCCCCTATTTATACCGATATTCCCAGCAAAACAGGTCACCCTCATTGACCAGATGTGAAACAACTCTAATAACTGGTACTAGACTGAGGTTGATGAAGAAATCAAGATAGCTAAACACCTATCTGCAATATTATCCTATTGTATTAATTGCTAAGAAATTGTTTTTTTTTTAAATCTCCTTAGCTTGGTTTGAACGTGGAGCTACTTTATTAATTTGAGGCATATTTTTTCCTTTGCTCTCCAATAAAATTCATTTTCAAAATCTCGTTTACTGACCTATTGCAAATGGTTATTTTTTACTAAAATGTTTTCTTTTATTTTTTTTCCTTTTCAAATTAGTGTTACTGTACCAACATTAATAAAAATATATTTTAGAGAATGGTTTTGTGTTTCTGCGTATTCTTAATTTCAGACTCCTTGAAAGACCAAGAACGATGAGGAATGCAGTTATTTACAGAGGCAAGTATTTATGCTTGTCTGTTTTTGCAGTCTGTTGAGTTTGATGGAAATTTGCCTCAGTCTTGTATAAGTTCTGTATTTATTTTTTGTAGCAGAATTAACACCGCTTGGCTTTTTATAAGGTCAGCTGGTATCACGGTATTGTGTGCTGCAAATTTCTAAAGTTATTAAAAGTGAAGTATCTGTTTATAAAACATTTGTGTAGAATGAAAATGTGTTCATTATTATTAATTAGGGTCCCTACCAGGTTAGAAACAGATTTAATATTATTCAGATAATATTTTGTGAATCAGTCACCAGTTATAAGAATCTACAGCTGCTAAGCTATTGGTTTGTCATTTTCAGCAGAAAGGTGTGAAACAGTATACTCTGCAGGCTTAAGCCACTTAACTGTGGCATTGGTTTTTATACTTGGGTACAAAATCAAAAACCTTATTTACAGTATATCAAATCCGCTTCAGTTGCATAAATAATTTTCTGAAGGATTCATGTGGCATGTGCACATCAATTCTCTTAACTTCATAATTCAGCGAATAATTTATTTAATTTAAGATAGCAAGCTGTGAATTTGATTTCCAATTTGAAGCCCACGCAAACATGGCCTCCTGCATATAGGTAATGCTGCCTCCGCTGTGAATTGTTGCAGCTTGGTAGTTATCCAAGAAATTGTATAGACGAAGGAGAATTACAAGTTACGTAGTGTTGGCCATTGAAAAGTCTGTATTTACATTTTTATCATGTAGTAAATTTGTGGAGCATTAGTTGCATATTAATAAAGCTCTGATTGTTCTCATGCTCAAAGCTAAATTAATTCAGAATGCAGAATGCAGAATTCAGTGTTAACTTCCTGTTGGTTATAGAAATGTCATTTGCAGTACCTTAACTGCTGAATCGCTTCTCTTCTTTTTTTTCTGAAATTGGTCTGATGTGTACAGTTTTTTCTCATTTGTTCCTCATTGATCTTTACTGGAATTCACTTTAATGTAGTTTCTGTGCTACGCATGCACTTTGGTCTTGCAGGAAGACTTTCATGTTCCCTGAATGTCCTCAGTGACTACAGCAGCCAGCACACATTGTTATAGCTACAGGAAAAAGTATGAGCATCTGTGTCTTCATCAGCACATTTGCAAGCTCTAAAGTTGAGGATGCACTTCAGTTTTTTCACTGTGATAACAGATGCCCCTTGTGCCTGTTAAAATTAGGTGAAAGGTGTATTTTTTCAAGGGATTAATAATGCTATGCTCTGAATCCCAGTCTTAAATCATAATACATTTACACCTATTAGTGGCTGAAATGCCATTTGAGTATTGTATAGTCCTTGTTCCTCCTGCATTGTCAAGGACGGGAAATATGAGTTTGAAATATGTTCTTGTTCTCTCTTGCCCAGGTTCAGCATCATGAGTGACTGATAAATACTGTTTTTTTAATAGATTGTAAGACATTTAGATCTATGAATATAAAATTCCTGCAAGATACTTCATACTAAGTATAAAACTAGTGAAATTCAATTAATATATGTTTAGGCATTAAGACTTATCAATTTATAAGAAAAAGAATACAATTTCTGTAGATCAGCAGCTGCTGTAGATAAGCAGCCATAATCATAATAAATCTGAAGCATTAAGTTCAGTTCGACAGAACAAGACTTCAAATTGGAAACCGTGATAAGTCAGAATAAGTTGGAACTTGTTGCCAGGAAAACAATCACATACGAGACTAGAAGCAAAGATGACTACCTTCTGCTTTTTTGGAAGAACTCCATTCTACTAAATCAATAATAATTCTTACACTTATATAGCACTTTTCAAGGCACTCCACTCAAACTGCTTTAAAGGTAATGAGGACTCCCCTCCACCACCACCAGTGTGTAGCCACACCTGGATGATGGAACAGCAGCCATAGTGCACCAGTGTGCTCAGCACACACCAGCTATCAGTGGGGAGGAGAGCAGAGTGATGAAGCCAGTTCACTGATAGGGACTATTAGGAAGCTATGATTGGCAAAGGCCAATGGGAAATTTGGTCAGGACACCAGAAAAAGACCCCTACTCTTTTTGAAGTATGCCCTGGCATTTTTAATGACCACAGGGAGTCAGGGCCTCAGTTTTACATCTCATCTGAAGGACAGCGTCACTATACTGAGGCACTTGGACCTAGACAGACCGCAGGGCGAGCACCCCCTGCTGGCCCCATTAACATCTCTCCCAGCAGCAACCGATCAGCAGGACTTCAGTTTTAAAAAAACAGCCTGCAATACTTGAGTATGCTGCCCTCCTGTGGAGGACTTTGGAGGCTGCAAGAGTTTCCTCCCTCTCCTGCTGGAATAGATGTGTTGAAATTGTTTTCCATTCACCACAGCCATAGAGTGCCGCTGGCTGGTTAAGTGGGTTTCCCATCGCATTTCCTTTACAGTCATGGACTGAAAGCTAGATCCACCTGCTATCAACAATCTGTTTCACTAGAGCTGCAGCTGACGTTATACACCACCTTTCAACAGAGCACGCCCTCCTTTCTGCCATGATCAAAGTCTGGATGACAAGCAGCCTGTCAGGCCCAGGCTGAAGAGAATGGAACTCATTCAAGGAGGGCGGAGGGCATTATGGTTCAATTACTGGCAAATGATATTGCAATAAAGACTGGGCAAGCTGCTTGTGGAAATAATACTCCCCCTGCTGCACGATATTACCTTTATGGTAATCACGTCCTCCGGAGATCTAACCTTCTGTCCTCAAAGAGTATGGAGTGATATCTTTTCCAACTGCTTTCTGCACTGCACTGCACGGTTGGCTCTTTGCATGTGGTTTGGTTTTAAATGCAATCAAAAAGGATGATTGTGCCTCCCAGTGGGAACAAAGCTCTCTCTTTGTCCTGCAAGACGTTTTCCTGCTCTTGTTTGGAGCTCCTGGAGCCCTGTACGTTTGTGTGGCAGCTCTGTTGCGATGTTGAAGAGGGTAGATTGAGGCGTGGATGGGGAACAGTGTTTTCCCCAGATGAGGCTCCAGAAAGGTGCACAGTCTTGGCTGAGGAGTGTGGAATCTCTCCTGGGGGTGGGCAGGTTTTGCATATTAAAATCGGAACCTCTCCTGTTTAGTTTGGTGCAGTGTCTTAATTTATTATTCTTTTTATTGTGGCTTATGAGTCTTTTAAAACATGCAGCAGTAAAAAAAAAAAGAGGCTTGTAGAATCACAGCACCATGTCATGTTCCACATGTTCGCCACTGTCGGTGGAGTTTAATTGCGAGTATTTTGTTACAGGAAAGAAACCCAATAGCATATTAACTTCCAGACATGGCCAGCTTTTTCCTTTCCTTCCCCCTGTACTTTGTGATAATGTGTATCGCCCCCACCCCTCTCTATAATTAATCTGGCTCGTCCTGCATTTAATTGGAAATGAATCCAAAACGCATCAATTTCAAATGGTTTTTTTTCGAATATATATTTTTATTACTCTGTTATTTGCGGTCGGCTCTGTGTAAGCTGTTCTCAGCAATTATGGCAAATACAATTCAATCTGTTTGGGGAGGTTTTTTTGCCCCCCTTTAATCTGATTTCCAGCCCTGTAACTGGGAACAGATGCCCCTCTCTTTGGTTTTTCGCAAAACATTAATCATCTCTCTTAAAAACAAAATCACAGCAGTGTAACAGCATTTAGCAAACCCTTAAAAAGCAAGGCCTCTAATCCCCACCCCTCCTCCCTCCTGCTCGCTTTTATGCGGTTTGTTACCTCGCTCAGTAGTCTGCCACCCGGCTCTTGATTCTGGCCTGTCTCTGATTAAGAACAGAAAGCTGCACTTTGTTACACACTGCGGCTTCCAGAGTTGTCCACATGCAATACAAATTGTCTGCTCGCTTTTGGCTTCACGCCTCCCGTCTTTGTTCGGGGAGGAAGGTGGCAAGGGGAGAGGGGATCGGTCACCTTTCTCTCCCTGCGTCTCCCAGAGTGACCGGGCCCGGAGCGGGGAGTCGGGATGGAGGACGTCTCCGTCTGCTTCAAATGCCCCGTTCCTCCTTGGTCCCCTGGGGGGAGACTGAGACTTTTCTGGCCGCTGTAGCTCTTTAATGTTTCCACAGAGTCGAAACACTTCTGTTCTCTCAATAAAATGCCAGTTTATGGGTTAATAAGGCTCTGGAGAACACATGGTGCAGATTTGGGCTGGATGGGTTTGGCACATCTTTCTGTCCACTGCAGACCCACGATCCAACACACCTGGAGTACCCCACCAGACAGCAGGGGGTGGGTCGAGGGGTGGCTCTTTCATCTTCCAAGAGTTTGCTTTAATTGGAAGAGTGGGATGTTGGAAAAAGATTAGACAAATCATACCCCAGCACCCAGCAGGCAGAACCAGCGCTGTGGAGCCTTAAATGTGGCCGGGTGGAGGAACTACAGAACCTGTGTTCAATTTAGAACTCCTGGAAACCTAGGTGTAACATATACAGCTGGGGCTGTGGAGAGGAGCTTGGCATACTAAAAGCTGAGGAGAAATAAAACGCGCACATGTGTGCACACTCACTCTCTTACACACACACAGAGGTTTTTGGTTTGTGGTTTTTGGCTCTGACTCAAAACAGGCAGAGAGCTTTACCATAATTACACGTGGGGGTTAATGCAAGATGTATCATTCCTAGAAACGCAATAAGGACATTGAATCCGCCGCACGCTAAACGGTTTCATCTGAGCTGTGTGTGTTTTTCTTTTTCCCTCATTAGCTCTTGGTTAACCGCTAATGCAGTGTGTATCCACTCTCTCTCCCCGAAAGATCTGCCGAGAAACAGATGAAGAAACCCGCCTCCAGCTGCCCGCTTGCGTC